TGATGGAGATGTCCCGAGGAGAACCTGAGGTGGACCCCCCCCGAGATTCCCTTCAGCTGTTTCTCGTCGCGGCCTTCCTGAATCCCCACCAGGGCAACTCCCGCCTGATGAAACCGTTATTTGACAAGGTTAAGGCGATGGAATTTGATGGCACCCTTAGTGCCTCGCCGACGCTCTTCACGAGCAGACTGCGGATTGTACGCAGCCGCCTTCAACTGCACATGAACAGAGATCTCGTTCAGAGGTGGTTGGGCGTCGAGCTGCTGCGCATGTTGGTCAGTGATAAAAAATCTGGCGTGGGAGCCATCATGGTGGCATGCCCATTGACGACATGAAACGTGGGTGGGCGTGTGCGTCCGCGCCCTGGAGCAACAGCCATTCCCACTTGCGAGCAACATGATATTGGACCGCCTGCACCAACCTACTATCAGGAGGGGGGGGTGCGAAGTTTCCCCAGAGCCGTGGCCTTGGCCACGTTGTCGGCGAGAACGTTCCAAGCGTGGCCTGCGTGGGCCTTGATGTGGTTAATTTGAAACTGAACTTGTGATCTGGCGTACCGGCACACAGACTCAAGCAGCATGGCTAACTGGTAATCGCAAGCTGGCCTGCTGCGCCCCAGTGCAGCACCTAGAGCAAGGAGAGAGTCGGCGTGGATGGTGGTCACACACCTGGGTTGCACCTGCACAAGCCAAAACAAACACCATATAAGTGCGAGGCATTCGGTGGTGGTGCTCGTGCTCCCTGATGGCAAAATCTCCATGGCATTGGTATGCTGAACTTCCCCCCTTAAGATTCCCTGTGAGGATGATCCCTTCTCACCCTTAGCTACAATTACTACTGCCTATGCTCCCCTCCCTTCCCCTTGTGTGTAGAGGGAGCCGTCAGTGTGCAAGTGGAGGTTGTGGTGAGCGCACTCGCGGTGCGGGCAGGTGTCCAGGGCGAGCTTGGCCTCTGGCCCGAGAAGGCCCGAGTCGTCGAGCTCCTGCCAGTGAAATTGTTCTAGCTCCTGCGCGCGCGCTTCCTGAAGGACTGACCGAATCGTCGGTGGAGCAGGGAAGATGCACTTGACCATGTCATGTGTACTATGCTGCAAAGCGTCATGCTGCTGGATAGCGCCTTGAGTGCCGCCGAGACTTGACTTATCCAGGGTGTCGCGGCCGACGGATGTGACCTCGGAGGGAACCTGGACATCACTATTACCCCTTGATGTCGGAGTGGGGGAGGCATGCATGGGCCGAGCACCTCTGGGCGTCAGCTCTGGGTTTTGCGCCTCGGAGCTTTTCCCCTGCTCGTAGGCGCCTGACTCTCCACCCTGTTCTTGAATTAAGCTCTGGGTAGCGGGGGCAGCTGGCAACGCGGATTGCCCTACGGCCCGCTTGCCCCGCAGCCTTCTCAAAATTGGTTTTACTGGTTGGTTGCTCTGCGTCGCCTCGGCAAAAGATGCCTTGCGCTGGAGCCGCGAATCAAGCTGGCGAACAGAGATCACTTCTGTACCAGCAGAAGAAGTTGTCTTGACTGAGCGGGCCGCCTGCCTACCTACTGCTTGTTGACCTCACTGCAGGCGGAAGCATATCGCACGATCCAGTCCTTCAAGGCGTGGATGCCCTTGTCGCTGGAGACAACGCGCATGAAGACGACGGAAGAAGGGGAGCAGCGGCAGCTCGATCACGCTGGTGATGAGAAGAGTCGCCGTCACTAGGTCGAGCGCTGGTCGACTCTAGAGCTGGGCGAGCGTGGGATCGTCCAGATACTCCTCGTCGTAGCCATCCAGCCTCTGCTGCTTCCTCGGAGGCGTCCGCGATTGCTCCCGCGGCTGCTCCGTGACTGGTGGCGGCCCCAGGATGTCCTCCGACGGCTGGGAACGACGCATCGGCTGAGTCGGTGACAAGGCCTCCCAATATTCGACTTGTGTGCCTGGTACCTGCCCTCCCCACATCTGTGTTGCCGCGGGTGTGGCTGGAGCTGGCATCGCTGAGGCTGTCGTAATCGGGGGCGGCTCGCTCGGAGTGCCCAACGGCGGTGGGGGCGAGCTCTCCGCCTCGATGGCTACGGGAAAAACTGGAGCCGATGCAGGGGGAGTTGGCGTCGGCTGCGACGCTTGCGAAGCCTGCGGTGTCGGGTGAGACTGCAAGACAGCGGCCACTTGTGACGGAGTGGCCGTTGCACTCGGAGGAGTTGCCTTCTTCCTGCTTGGGTTGCCGAGCTTTGTCATGAGCGCGGTCGAGGTGCCTGCCAACGCGCGCTCGAGATTCTGGTGCTGTTGCTGCATAGTCGCCATGTTCTGTGCCATCGGCAGGACGAAAGAGCTGTCGACCACAGGTGATGTCGAAGATGGCGGCCCAGCAGGTCCAGAACAGTAGGAGAACGGAGAAGGCGGCTGTGGCCCGAAAGGTCCCACGTGTCCTCCTGGAGCGACCGCGGGGACCTGATGACGCTGGGACGGATCCCGAGGAGCTTGATGCATGTGGGTGTCTTTCATGGCCTTCTCGTCCTCGATGCCTCTGCTGATGAAGTCTATGTGCCCCTGCACCGTCTCGAGCTCTTCTTGCGTGATGTTGGAGGAGGTCGTCGATCTTGATCTTGCTGGCCTCCAGCCTCTCCTCTAGAAGCTCCTTGCGTTTGGTGGCGTTCTGGGGCTGGAGCGCAAGCGGCTTGAACAAGGAGGCTGCGTACGTGAGAACTCCCATCTTTGTCTTGACCTCGTGGTATATGCCATGAGGCATAGACTGTTTATCTTCTCGAACGTTTCCTCCCTGAACTTGCCAACCTCGAGCGGGTCGTCGGAACTGGAAGGAGCTTGCCATTCGGGATGTTGTTCTGCTTGGGAGGGCGTGGCCATGGGAATCTTGGAGAGTACCTTCTGGAGAATGGACTTGTTGACCTGCATGTGCATCTGCTCCTTCCTCGACGCACTCTGCGACCTCCGAGTCTGTCTGTGCGACGAGCTTGAGCGAGGCACACCCTTGCCGTGGTCCCAAGCCTTGCCCTTGCCTGTGTGCCTGGCCTTGCCCTTGCCTTTCTGCATCGGGTACCAACTGTTCTGCGGCCTCACCATTCCACATAGACAGAAACGATGATAGCCCTTGACTGTTCTGAAGCATCGATCGCATGCCCATGTGGTCATGTGGGTGGTAAAGAAAAGGAGAGGCGAGTATGCTACCGAACTGCTATGGCTCCTTCAGGAGCTCACTGAAAAAGAAGACTGGCGCTTTGCCCTTGTGTCGCGGGCCGAGCTCCACGCCAGTCGTGGGGCTCTCTGCAGCAACTCGATACATGTTTTACTTGAGCCAAAATGGCTACGGATCTCCTCCTCCTCCTCCTCCTCCTCCTCCCCCTCCTCCTCCCCCTTCTCCCCCTCCTCCTCCTCATTCTCCTCCTCCAGCTCCTCCTCCCCAGACCCCGGACACGTCATGATTCTTGTAAGGACGTTGGCCCCCGGCGGTCTCGGCCCAGTCCCGGGGAACGGTCTCTCCTCCTGTGCTCTTTTTTTCTGACGGCCCCGAGGCCCGGCGAGGGAGGAGGAGGAGGAGGAGGAGGAGGAAGAGGAGGAGGAGGAGGAGAAGGAGGAGGAGGAGGAACCAAAGAGGAACCAAACATCCGCCGCCGCCGGTTTTTTGCTCGTGCCTCGAGGGGGGCCTGGGAGAATGCGGCACTGTTCGGGCACGGAGGAGCGGCCTCGAGCACTGTGCAGGCGGACCGAGGAAGAAGCTCGGGGGCGGCTCGGGGAGGGTGCCCCAGTTCGGAGGGCACCAACTATACACCAACACCGATCCTGGCCCAGGATCACCCTGGGCCCAGGATCGGTGTATATGCCTTCTTGCGCAAGGCAGGAGGGCGTATACACCGATCCTGGGCCCAGGGTGATCCTGGCCAGGATCGGTGTTGGTGTATAGTTGGTGCCTTCCTACCAGTGTTCTTCGCCGAGCGCGTTCCACTACTCGCAAAGCGCCTGCTCGCAAACGTTTGAACAGAGCAGGCCATCCTCGAGGTAATGCCTCGTAAATCCCCCGCGGCGGATCCGGGCCATTTTCGCGAGCAGTGGAACGCGCTGGTCCAGCTCTTCGTGCTCCTTGGGTGTAATTGTGCATCCAGGGGAGTGCCTCGGACGGGGCCAAGGCGAGGACAAACCCGTTCCAGAGCGTTCAATGACGCTCTCAGAGCGTTCCGCAAATCTCGGCGAAGGCCGCGGCGCCCGAGACATCCTTCAGAGCTGCCGGGTCTCAGAGGTTCTCGATGTATCCCCACCTGATTTTATCTTCGTGTTGGCTTCGTCTTGATGTTCTTCTGGCGTGGGTTCGATTGCACAGTGGAAATTCATGCCAAGGGGCACCCTGCTTGCCTTCAGGGTGCTCTGGGTTTCTTGGGGTTCGATGGTTTGCCATGGAATGCGTAACGTTCCCACACCAAGAATCAATAGCCATCCTGGGATCTCAGGGTTGGGTTTATTGTTGAAGGTTTCTTGTGGTCGAACTCCTACCCCAGACCCACGACGTCACGGTTTGTTCATAACGTCGACCCTCATAGGTCTCGACCCATTCTCCTGGACCGGTTTTTCATCCAGAGTCGTTTTTTGATGGTCCCGAGGCCTGGTAAGGGCCCCCAGAAACCGAACACACGGAAAAACCTCCCGTCATGACGTTTTCCATTCGCCCAGGGGGTCTGGGACTGCAGGTCCGACTGCAGTCGTGTCTGATGCGCGCTCCACGCCTAGACATCCGGCTGCTCTAATTTGTTTCGTGCGTGGGCTCTGGAGGTCGTGGCCTTTTCCCCATGTCTGGCGTTTGGTCCTGAGTCGTTTTTGGACGTCCCGAGGCCTGGCGAGGGAGGAGGAGGAGGAGGAGGAGGAGGAGGAGGAAGAGCAGAAGGCCGAGAGCAGCCCGCCCCCATTTCTTTCCTTTGGTGTATTGGAGCCTCGGAGATCCCTGGGCGTCTGTGCCCACTGCCCGCCTCCGCCCGTCCTCCTGGCGCCCGCCGCCTCCCGCGGCCTTGGCTCCGGCGAGCGGCGCGCGGCGGCCCCACCCCCGCGATCGGCCGACCCCGCGCCGGCCGCGCCGCCGGACCCCCCCCCTACGCTGGGAGAGGGAGGGGAGGCGCCGCGAGAGACCCACGACCCCGGACCCCCCTCCCAGATATGCGACCTCGAGATGTTTCCAGGACGGCGTCCCTGGAAGTGCCGACCCTTTTCCCGCGGCCGGTTTTTCGTCCCGAGTCGTTTCTTGACGGTCTCGGAGCCCGGCGAGGGTCCCCTCTGCAGGGCCGAAAACAGCGAAACACCTTCCGTCCTGATTTTCTCACGAAGCGATCATGTCTGGGCTCGGGCAATGAAACGATCATGACGGGAGGTTTTTTCCATCGTTTCGGCCTCTGGAGGCCTTCACAGGCCCCCGCGGGGCCGTCAGAAAGGATGCAGGAGGAAAGACTGGTCTCCCAGGGGAATGGGTGGAGGCCTCTGACGGTCGACGGTGTGAACAAGATCATGACGTCGGGGTTTTGGGACCAGGAGCCCGCGTTTTTTTCTGTCGACTCCGGCAGGTTTACCCGCATGGACGGGGGGGGGGGACGTGACATGTGGAGAGCACGCAAGGCGAAAAGGCACTTGCACGCCAGTGTTCGTCTTGAGGAGGGGCGCGGAGGGGGGGCGGAGGCTGGGGGGAAGGGCGGGGGCGAACGCCAAGCAGGTAGACATGCCCGAGTCAAAAAGCACAGGCTCTAGAGGGGGGTAGAGGGGGAGGGGGGGGGGGGGGGGGCGAACGCCATGCAAGTAGACTTGCCCGAGCCTAAAAAAAAACAGGCTCTAGAGAGGGCCCTGACGCCCCGAGAAAATTGGAGCGTCGTCGAACAAATCAGCACGGGGGGGGTCCATCGTCTGTTGCCAGTCCCGGGGCAGGGCCTGGTGACCCCGTCCCCAGACCCTCTCGGGTAATGAAAAAAACATGACGGGAGGTTTTTCCTTACTGTCCGTCTCGTGAGGCCCTTACCGGCCCTCGGGACCGTCATAAAACGACTCAGGACGAGAAACATGCCTTGGGAAATGGGTCGAGACCTCTAAGGGTCGACGTAATGAACAAATCATGACGTCGGGGGTCTGGGTCCAGAGGTCCGGCTGCAAGGCTGGGGAGTTCTCGAGGCGTCTCCGGCGAAGGCTGGAGTCGTCAGGGGGAGGGGAAGAAAACAAACATGTGGAGGACTTTCGCCCAGGCGGGGTTGGTCTTCCTCACCTCTCCCGAGCATTGCCCAGGCGGGATGCTCGGGGGAGGTTTGCCGCTGGGATCGCCTAGGCGGGAGCGCCCAAAAACGATTCGGGACGAGGAGTCGTCCCTGGGGAAGTGGTCTGGACCTCTGGGGCCCGCGCATCCGAAAAAATGGAGCAGGCGGGTGTCTGGGAGTGACCCTTCGCTGGGCTGACCTTTGCTGGCCACGCGCAGAGGTGGGCAGGGGTAGGGGAGAAGGCCTCATATAGGAGGAGGCTGCATCTTAGAAGGCGCGGGCCTTATCTTTAGATTCTGGATGATATCGGGCCAGCGCTTTTTTAGGAGCAGGCTATTCCTAAACAGCCTGTCCCCCTTGCCCTACCCTGTGCGCACCGCCAACTTTGGTGCGCGGCTTTCCCTGACATCCTGCCGTCCCACACTTCTTTCGAGGCGAGCGCTCCCGTCAGGTGTCGGTCTCTGTGGCGCATACCTCTGTCGGGTATAGCCAGGACCCCGGGTGAGGGGACCCGGTCAGTGGTAGGGCCCTGGAGCCCTCAATTGGCCAGATTCACTAATCCAGGTTTGCCGTAACTGGTGTTTTTCGGGTGACGGCAGTTCCGGTTAGTGGAAAAGGAGGAGGAGGAGGAGGAGGAGAAGGAGAAGGAGGAGAAGGGAGGAGGGAGGAGGGAGGAGGAGGAGGAGGAGGAGGAGGAGGAAGAGGAGGAGGAGGAGGAGGGGGAGGAGGAGGAGGAGGTTCCAGGTTCCACTACATCCAGTTCTGCCAACGCCCGACTCTGGGGCGCGCACCAGACGACCAGGCGCGAGAAAGGGCGAAGGAGGATTGGGTGTAGGGCTCTGGCCGGGATCTTGAAGGATGCTATTTTTTGTCGCGCCGTCGGATCTCGGGCTTCGGGGGGCGCTTCGGAGCCAAGCGCAAGCACGGAGACCGCCACTCTCGCCCCGCACGCGGCGCTGCGGCTGGCACGCCGCACACGAAAGGTCATGGGCGTCCCGTAGCGGTGGGGCTGCAGATGGGGGGGGGCAGGGAGGGCCGCAGAAAAGGGACCCAGGAAGGGGGCCTTCAGGGCCTGAGAAGTGCACCTGTCGCCCCTCCCCCCCATCTTATCGCCCCCTCATGAAGCCTTGCACGAGAGGTCACGCTTTGCCCAGGGTCGGAAGCTGCCACAAGGAATTGTCGGACAAGATTGGTTTCGGCAGACCCGAGGCCCCCCCCCAACCCAACCTGAGGCCCCTTGGCTCGGCCTGAGGCGTGCCAGCCGCCGTCGAAGCCTCCTCCACCTCCTCCTCATCATCCTCTTCCTTCTCCTCTTCCTCCTCCTCCTCCTTCTCCTGCTCCTCCTGCTCCTCCTCCTGCTCCTCCTCATCCTCCTCCTCCTCCTCCTCCTCCTCCTCCTCTACCGTAGCCATTGTGGCTCAAGCCATTTTGGCTCAAGTCTGGATGAAAGCTACGGTGTAGCGAGATTCCAGACTGAGGGCCAAAGTGGTCCTCATAGGCATTTTGCCCTCGAGCTGCCTTGTTTCCTGCTCCCGAGGCCAGGTCATCGGCCGCCCGCAGGACAGCTCCGTTTAGGCATCTTCCGAGTCAGTGCAGCCGCTCCGCTGCGATGGCCTCTAATGATGAGATGATGTGCCCAACGCCAGTGGCCGAGGAAGATTGTTCGGTCTCGAAGCAGGTGCGTACTGGCGACGCTGACTGGTTACGCGGGATGCTGGGGGACATTCGCTCGTACTTGGCCGCAAAGGACGACGTCAATGAGGTGAAGAGAACCATTCATGAGCACGAGGTCAAGATAGATGGTCTGACTGCTCGAATGAAGGTGATCGAGGACAGATCTTATATCAGCATGGAGGCAGCACAGTCCGCTGCCACCGCCGTCATGACTGAAGCTGTTGGCAATAAGCTGAAGGACATGAAGGCACACAATCTAAAGATGCAGACCGAGCTTGCTGCTCTGTCCTCGCGTACGCCATCGACCAGGTCGAATGCATCGGCCGCATCACAAGAGCCCGAGAAGGAGAGGGACAATCACAAGATCTGGATCGCAGGTTTCCCGAGGCCACTGCTAACCAAGGTCATGAGCGCCCACGCTACACAGCTCATCCAACAGCACGTCCCCGGCGGCATCACGGCAATGCCCAAGTCTCACAACTTCCAGACGGCCTACAGCATCATCTTCGATTCGAACGAGGCGGCCAAGGATTTTTTGATGCGCGCTCGGACCCTGGGTGTGAAGTGGCGCGACCCTCGCACCAATACTGACGGTGAGTTGAAGATACGCATGGACGCACCGCCTGCCATCCGCAAAGACAACCGCATCCTCGGAGTCCTCTGGTCCAAGGTTGTGGAGACAGCCAAGGCCAATAACAAGTGGAGTCCTTCTTCCACGCTCGGCTCGCAGGGATTTCGTGGCACGCTATGGCTGATCTCGAATGATGACACGGAAAACTTCTTTCAGGTGAAAGGCGTAGAGTCGATGCAGTTGGACGTCATTCCTAACGTCGTGGCATTGAAGAAGCTCGGCTTCGCTGATGCCATCCTCAACAGCACGGTTGAACACTTCCTGATATAGGAAATCGCTCTGCCAAGCCAGCAGCGCATGAAGGCCGTCTTGCATGATATGCCCCTGGGGATCCTCGCCTCTCCTGTGGATAGTGAGTTGGCTGGTTTGGGTGTCCCGTTCTGCGTGGGTGCTTGCGGTGTGCGTTTCACACCTGCGCAAGCGGCAGACCGCGTCTACCAGCGGCACGCCACATCTCCGCCTACGAAGAGAATTCGGGCTTCATGCGGAATAGCCACTTCAGCGAGAAGAGCAAGAGCCTCTTCCTCGTCGTCCTGCACGTCTGGGTCTTCCAGTCCTGGTGGGTCGTGTGCACGTTCGGCACCTTCGGCAAGTTCAACGTCCTCATCCTCCAGCTCTTCGTCGTCGTTTACGGTTGACTGGCCTGCGTTGTCGATGCGATGCAGCCCTTTCTTGCCGAGCAAGCGTTTTTCAGTTGTGTCTTGGATTGCTCGTTCGCTCTTCGGCGCACTGCACGCCCCGCAGCACACCCACCGCGCAAAGATCAGGCAGCTTATCACTATGATTCAGAATCATGATGTTGTATGTATTCAAGAGGCTCGCGGGACGTACGAGTGTTTCCGTGCCCTGGAGCGTGAGGTGTATCAGCTCCCTGGCTTCTCGACCTTTCTCTGCAACCCTCACTCTGGTGGTAGTCTTATTTATGTTCATCCTCGGGTACGCAACGCGTTTACATATGCGCAACATCGTGTCATTGCACATGGGCGTATACTCACTGTTGTTCTTCACAATGTCCAGCAAACTCTCCAGATAGTCAGTGAGCATAGTGATCCTGGTCTCCGTGTGCGAGAGCGCAAGCGTCAGCTACTGCAGATTCGTGATGCTCTTCGGCCCCGAGAACTCTGCCCTAGTTCTGTGAAGCTCCAGCTGCTGAGCCGCCTGTACAAAAATGACCACCGTCTGTGCTTTAATGACATGGATCTTGTTTTCCTGGCCTTCAGGAGGGCCGCCCCTCTCGTTCCGCCCTCGGTCCTCGCCTCGCTTCTGAAAGCAGTGTGTTTTGTCTGGTGCACATCTGGGCGGTTTCGGAATGTCACCACTCTTTGCCCGTTGCGCGGCCTCCGTGCCGCTGACACCCTCATACATGTGCTTGTATGCCCGAGGATTGACATCATTGGGATTTTCCTGCCTGAGCTCCCGTCTGCGTTCTGTCTTGCCCCTGGTGCCACCAGAATTCAGATTTATAGTTCCCCACATCCTGAGTGGGGTTTTTGTTCCCCACATCCTGAGTGGGGTTCTTGTTTTCCCAGAACACCCTCTCCTTCC